GCGATCGGAAAATAGAAAATCGTTGTCTCGACTCGTATAGTTTGTTTGGAGATTTCCAGGAAGACTTCGGTTTTTTGTAGATTACATGTTGTGATTATCCTGAAATACCGAAGGAATTGTAAGATACCTATTGCAGTGTTTAATTGAGCACTATAGTAAACAATGGACACCGATGAATAATTAACTTCTAAAGCTTTTGAGTTAATACCGTTTGATGTATTCAGATTGAAATTGTGTTTGGATACGTTAAAAGTTCAGAGTATCCACAATTTTACACGGATTCTTTTTTCATCTCAATCGCCGTTTAAAAATTATAATTGGCGATCGATAACTCACGATATAAACTAACTTATGTAAACGACAGCCGAATCGTCCGTTCATTGTCCGTTTTCCATCGTGAAAACTCAGCATCGATCGCCAGGCGAACTACTTTTCCACTTTCGGTCGACCTTCGAACACTATTAGAATAGTTGCGAATCAGGCTAGCTCGAGTTTGTTGTTTCCAATATTACTGCTCGATTTCTCTGAGTACAACCCCTTAATGACGAGGAGGTGCGCAGTGAAAATCAGTTTGAAAAAATAGCTATACCTGTAATTCCTTTCACATGTCCACTTTAAATTGTTCAATCATCCTGAAAACGAATTAATCGTGTAAAATTTATAAAACATTTAACGTTCCATCTTGACTCATCTATCATAAAAGAAAGTACTCTCGAAAACTCTTAGTTTCACCAATTCTCTAGGCGATCCTTGCTCTTACTTCCGGCTACTTGCAGACAAATCGGACAAGTCTCTCCTTCAAGAGCGTATCATCGATTCTCTTTACACTGATGTCTCCTTTGCTCGCTGCTCGTGCACAAAACCCACGGGAATGGCTCCGTATTCGCGAAAATCGTGTAAAATAGTTGGTTTTAGACAGTCGACTTACCTTTGAGGCACTTTGCCTCCTCCTCTGTCGTTTCTTTGTCATTTCTGAAAAATAGACATTCTGTGCTACATTCTCAGTTTAGTCGCTTAATGGTGGATTAGCTTAACTTCAACTTGTTTAGCCAGTGTTGAGATATTAGGTCAGCAAACGTTTTTAGATAGAGTTCTTGAACTGCAAGAATATTAATTTATAAAAATACTTAATTACTTTATATATTAAGTAGATATTCGATTACATTTCACAGGAAGTCGGTGGTAAAGCATATTTAAAGGGCTCGTAATTTTAAAGTTAGAATTTCAACTAAAAAATATCGAGCTCGAGAAAATTCTCAGTGGTTTTCGTTGCCAATTCCAATTTTCTCGTGGCGTGGTTGTCCTTGCAACTTCCGGTCCGTGCGAACTGTCCGTTTCCGATTTTATCCCACGTCCTTCATTTCACTTGCAGATTTTGTGATTTCCTTTCGACCCGTCTTACCTATATACCTTAATTTAATTGTGATTGCTCGAAACTCGCTGCATTGGTTCACTGTTGAACTATTGAAACTTACCATAGTACTATAGTAATATGTTTGAGGAAACAGATACGATGAAGAAAATTTAACCTTTGAACTTTTGGGATTTTTATTGTTGAATCTTCCAACTTTATCTATTGAATTTTCTTTCACTGTGGCCGCAAAACTGTTTTCAACTTCACCGTTGGATGTTCCTCTCAAATTTTATTATTGAATTTCCAAAATATGGATTCCTTTTTTGTCAATTTTAAATTCTAAATTTTAGAAATTTTTATAGCATCCAATGATGTAAATTAGTAAAGCATTTATTTGATTTACGAGTTTATTTTTACGAAGCAGTCGCACGAACCAATTTGCAAAGAGTTCAATTTTTCCCAGTTAATTACAGAAGAGAAAATACGATAAGGTAAAGGTGTAGGAAAAGTTATTAGCTAAAGCAATTTTCGATGCGATTCTAGATAACGAATCCTATCGATATCAAGAGTAATCCGCAATGACAGCGGAGCTGAAAAAACAAAGGATATTGGCAGAATGAGTCAGGATCTGGTATGGCGGCAACGGCACTGAAAAAGAAAAAGTAATCTAACCCTCGAGTGGTCCGAGCGAGATTCTACTCGAATTCCCATCCGTGAGATACGGGCGAAAAATCCTGTCTACGAATTCTTTAAGCTGTCTCGATACATTCTATAGTTCTTAAAATATTCAAACGCAACCTCACTATCGATATAGTAACGACACAGTATCGACTAGTCCATATCGACAATTGGAAGAGTGTAAAGTGCAATTAAACCATACCTCTGATGTAGAAGTAGAACTTGAAAAAAATATTTCAAGAAATTTGATATCCTTTTATTTGAACTCTGATTGTAGTGACAGATGACGGAAACAGTGTTCTGAAACTCATCCAATTAATCAGTAGTAGGAATTGTCGTTGATTGGTTGTTTCCATTTTGTGTTAGATGGTCTATATAACTTTAAATATAATATTGTTGTATATATTATTAGGAAATGAAAAATCTACATAATACGAAATCACAGAGGAATCATAGAGAAGTCACAAAGTCACTAAATAAATATTACATTACGTTATATACTATTTATTGAATTATGCTACACATATTTCTTTTTAACGTGATATAACTTATCGAAATAATTTCTTCACGTAATACACTGTTGACATAGTCGAAACAATTAGGTTATTCAAATCGATCAATATACAATTGTCGATAGGTTATCGATACCTAATCGTTAATCGTTCGCAGCGCCATCAGCTGTCAAGCTGGACTAATTACGGTGGGCAGGATGCGCGAATAAGCTGACGTTGCGCGTGATATGTAGACCATTTTCCGTGTGAAAACAAAGTAAAAGCAGTCGCTACGAAGTGATTCGATCTGGTGTAATTACCGTTTACAGAGGCCACACCACTGCTAGAATTCGATAATTCGAAGGTATCACGGCAATTTTCAGTGATTCGCCTGATTTAACTTGAAAACGGTGGGCAACAGACCCCCGGAATTTCGAAAGTAAGTTCGATCGATTCGAGAGCATGCACTTGAAAGACGCTTTAGCCTCGGAATCACCAGCAAACAAACGTTACGTCATTGGAAGCCGCTGATTGGAAGACCGATGAAACTCGCAACACGATTGGCGTTGTTTTGAATCCGTTGTTGAGTTTCGAGTGCAATTCACCGCAGATTCGACGAAGAACGGGAGTATCGAACCGTACAGTTCGTTTTGTTGATTTTTCCGATCGAAAGCAAGTATTTTTCCTGCATTTTATTACTATATGATATGGAATGTTCGGTTTTTCTTTAAACATGTCACGCCAGAGGTTTGAGGTTAAGAGTTCGAGGTTCTTTTAACCGAGTCACACTGTCTCATATCGTTGCACGGTTGCATATAGAGGATAATAGGAAACTAATACAATCCGATATTTTATATTCCTTTTATATGAAACAATATAAAAAATATGAAGAAAAGTAAGTACGTATTTTACGCTGCTCGTAATAATTTTTATTTTTATTTTGTAATTTTGGGTTTTTATATTTTTCTGTTTTATCTTTTAATACAAATTATCTATTCATACATGCGTCCATGTTCTCAAAGTTTATCGATCGAGAAAAATCAAGGAAATAGAATCCTCCTTTTTCGTTTGGCCCATGTATGACAAGTGTTAAAACATTTCACAGCGTTACAACAATATCTAGGTAGGATTCCATCGTCAATCAAATGCTTCCAACCCAATTATTCTCATCTTTTCGAAAACTGGGGGAACCTGACGGCGACCGCGAGCACTGTTACGCGAGCATCGCCGCTTCGATCTCTTTTCGTGGACCGTTGTTTCGCATAAATACGGGTCCACGATCTATTAAGATAACTTCCTGTGATTTATCGTCCACGACATAAAAACTCAATTTTATCTTTCACCGTGCCAGCTCGATGTTCCAGTTTGTGCTTTAATATTAATATACTCAGGCACTGGAACGCCAATTTGTTAATACTAATTAATGTCACTTAATTTATTAGAACTTATTCTATTTTATTTTCAACTATTTTTATGAACGATATATCCTTTAAAGAAAGGAACTACAAAATAATGATATACGTCATTTTCTTTCCTTTCAGTGTCTAAAGACCTTCCCCTCAATTGTGAACAAAACTCCACGCGTCTCAAATCAAACTACTGATTTTTCTAATCATCGTCGAGCTTCAACTGCCGCCCAAGCACGACGATTACGATAAGGAGAAACACGTCGTCGTTTCAGAATCGGGCGACAAAGATGTGATCAAGAATTATTCTTGGGCTACGTTCCCCTGTCTAAGGGATGTCCTCCTCCGCGGGCACCAGCTGCACCGACGCCGAGGAGGACGCCGAGGATGTGGAGAACGACGTGGCAGGTAGCGCGCAGTCGTCTAATTACTTGCCGTCGGGTTTCCGTGATAGCGCGCGCGATCACCTGGAAGGACTGTGGTTAGATGGGTCATCGATCGCGCATCCACCAGCCGAGGACACTTCCGCGAGCCCATCGACATTGTCGTGGTCGGTGCCTCGATAAATCTGGATTATTGTCCTCCTCCACCTCCTCCTCCATCTTCTCTTTACGGTCGTCGATTGTTTCTCCATCAACGACGATCCACGGCTCTCCAGCTCCTCCGACACGAGTCGGATCCACGAAGGGCACGGAGCTGGAGTATACAGCAAGCTGGAGGAGGTGTCTGAACACAGATCGTTGGAGCAACGGAGGAGCGTTCGCGTTTAGGTGACGACAGAGACGTCTAGGTTGCTGCCAGGTGGATCTTAAAATCGTCGAACATCTGTCCTGGATAATTCGCGTTATTATTTTCCGTTTTCTTCTTTTTGTTTTGTAATTCAGTCTAGATCGAATATTCTGTAATATATACATATGTATGTAGGAAGAAACTGGATGTGTGTTAGAAAATTGTGAAGCCTCTATCGGTCTGGCCGGTTCCAGCTGTGGAAGGTCAGAGGACTCCGAGGTCGGGAGTTCAGAGGACCGTTTCCGGTTCCTGTTACACGCTAGAACGTGCAAAATAGCTCGCGAAGGATTTACTCGAACGTGTGCAGAACAATTGGTTAAGCGTGGTACTACAGCCTGTCTAGTAAAGGATATAGCAGGTCGCCGCGGCAGTTGTGCTCGTTTGGACCGGTTCCAGGCGGACGTGAAACCGCCGACAGGTGATTCGGACGATACCACAATGGTGAACTACCCTCGAATCATGACATTCAGTTAGTGAACGTGCCTCGTTCTCGCGTGTGTGTATCTGTGCAGCTGTAGAAATAAGGATAGAGGGGAAAGGCCGATTGATGAAAGAGGATTGGACATGAGGCGAGAAAGACAGCGCGTGATCGTCGTAGCCAGAGATTGGTCGAGGTCCTGATAGCCGCAGCGACCAGGATCTAGGATCATCCAAGGAAGAAAGGATGCCAGGGGGGCGCAGGGGCCTGGTCGCCCCACAAAATACATTCCTCGAGAACATCATACGACGGAGCAGCAGTCAACGTGAGTACAACGACTTTGATTGGTTTCCTTTTCCGATCGATCGATCATTTCGCAAAGTTTACCATTTCTTTCCGTGAATTCACTAGGTCGCCCAAAAGAGACAGAGAGCGAGGGAAGGAGGATAAAGAGAGAGAATAGATTGATTTTGTGGATTGATTTTGCTGGAATTCATGGTATTTTAGTGCGTGCTCTTTTATGTTTCCTTCTCCTTCTCTGTTTCTTTGTCGAGGAAATATAGGTCAAGCTAATAACTTTACGTAACTGCGGTAGCCTGTACAGATAAAAGTTACCCCCGTATAACGAGATTACTCTTGATGACCATGATAGATTCTGTTTCATTCTACGGTTTAACCTTTTCGTTATGCGAGTGTCTAGTCGAAAATCGGTCACGCTATAAAACCATAAGTGTTGTTACTTATATTACACCATGCTGCAGATTTTTATATCCTTATTTACTCAACTATCGAGACAACTGGAAAAAAGATGTTGGTTAGGGGCAAAAATACCGAGAGTGCCATGGAATGCGCATGAGCGGCGCTGCCAATTATGTGAAACTTAGACAAGTGATAAAAATTCTAAATCATAGTAATTTTACTCTCAGTATAGTTACCCTTAATAACAAACAAACAAACAAAAAAATAAAATAATAGTTAAAAAGAAAAACTATTAACTTTCTACGTAATTCACGAATTATTATCATTATTAGTGTATCGTTGTCGTCCTATTTTTCATACCGTCGGAGGATATTTAATTAATCTAATTGGATGAGAGGCAGGTATTTTGCGATATCGGCCCCTAGATGTTTTATCGCGTTTGTTTGGATTCGCGGCGCACGTGTGAAGTAACGCGGACAAGGAGCTCGGTAACGAACCGAGTGTTAATTGGCCTTCGCTGTTTGAGATTTAAATGCGCTGAAATGGATGCTGTTTGATATAGATAGATACAAGGTATTATGAAAGTGATACAATACTATGTTTTGAAGCTCCATAACTAAGACTATTGCTTAAAAAAACTCCACGATGTACAGCTACCATTATCGTGTTGCACAGCGCATATTCTTTGCGTAGTGTCACTTGAGCGTAACACGTTGATGTTTTATGGCAACACGCATTTTATAATAAAGTATTATCACGAAATATAATTCGCAATTGTAATTCATAATTTTACAAACAGAATGTGCAAACAGGAAAATACAAACAGTCGATTAAACATGACAGATTTATCCATGTATACTTCGTATGCATTCGGCAATCGTCGGCCTCTATCGGCAATCGTCGGCCTTTATCGGCAATCATCGGCTTTTATCGGCAATCCTCGGCTTATCGGCAATCGTCGGCTTTCTTCGGCTCTCGTAGAGATGTGTTCAGCAACTGCACAATTACGCTTGACTTTCGTACCAAAGCAATTAATAATTTATAAAACATTTTATTCCAAAATATTTATAAAATCTTGAAATTCGAGGTTATTTTATATTACGTGTCGTCGTGTCAAACGAAGTACTCTAAAACAGAGCGAATTAAAGGACAGATTCAAGAAAGACGAGTCCAAGAAAATATATATAACTTTCGTGAAGAAAGGAAAAAGAATTCTAGCAGGGTAAGCATCGAGTTAAGTACGCATCAAGTTTACAAACGCTCTCAGCTTCTTAATGAATCGATCCTTTGAATCTCCACTCGAGTGATCGACGAGCAGTCTTCTTCGTGTATTCATCCAGCGATTATTAGCCAAAAAGTACCGTCTCGAGAGATTCTCTTGTGGAGGGTGTACTCGAACTACGATAGCGACGAAAAACCATCACCGCGGCCTATCGTCTGTGGTCAAAGGTCACCGACGATGAATAGGCTGTTGCGAAAGGGTTAAACCAAGCGTGGCTGGCCGCGGCATTGACCCATTAACTGGCATACCTAGGATTCCCAAGATCCACGAGAATAGGCACGCCTGTTCTGGTAGCCGAATCGAATTATAACGAGATACATAACGGGGTACATAACGAGAACACGTTCTGGGACGGAATAATCCTTCACGACCGAACGGAATAATTCATTCGACTGGTTTCCGCGTAGCGTGCACGAATTCGCTAAGGGAACGTGGAAATCGTCGAGGTCTCGCGTGTTGGACCAATATTTGCCAACCTCAGTCGCTCATAGGAATGGTACTAATGTTAGTAGCCGAATGGAAAGGTACACTCGTGCAGTATCACCAGGTATTCTTGGCTTTTCTCAAAAGAATCTCTGTACTTATTGTTACCTTTTAGGACGAGACGTTCTGACCTCGCGGATAGAACCGGATGGAACGGTGTAATGCTAGTCCGGCCCAGAACAGGGACCATAATGTCTCTTCATCGCGCTCTGGAGAGCGAGAGGGCTTTAGATTCACGAGATTCGTCGCAGATCGTGAAAATTCTTTGTGTTCGCTGACGAACGAGGTCTGATTACTTCGGGGAGCATTGAGCAAGATAGGAAATGTTAGTTATAACGGCCATGGGCCCTAGAGGCTCGTATCAGCGACTGTGCTATCCTAAACGACTTTGGGTAACCGGAATAGTAATGATACTCTCCTGCTTTGGGAATTTTTGCCAGCTGGTTGGAACAGTCTGTCCCATATACCTTTGGTTTCGTACCACGTTAACGTTATTGGGTCGCTGCATGTCGTTTCCTCGAATAAAACTTCAATCATGCAGAGCTTCCTCGAATTATCCCGTATTCGATGGTAGATCACATGTTCGTGGTTCTGGTCATTTAACACAACGATCATCTCATCTTGTTATTTAACTATACTTTATTTATTCCACGTAGAATATCTTCTACAATGATCCAATCCATTTGTGATCACCTAGTATTGTTGCCTAATTACCTGTAACTTTCTCGAATTGTCGTGGATTTGATCGGAAATAACATTCATAGTGGGACTGTGCAGTTTTCACATAGATTAGCTTTAATTTCGTTATTCCAGATGAATATCGATGGAAAAAATCTACAGACATAGTTTCTCCGATCTTCTGGTTCGATTTGGTAATTTTGCAGAGATATTCAAGGGGTCAAAGTTCGTCTGACTTCGAGACCAGCTCGATATCCGATTCAGCTTCTGGCAGCTCAGGCTCCAATGTTTCAGATCTTCTGAGAAACTTTCGAATATTCCCTGGAGCTCTATGAGCATCATCCCGACTTCCGACCTATCCTACAGACTTTCGTGGCTCCCGGGACTGCCTTGAAACTCAAGATCTCGTTGTCAATGTCTACGTCCCAAACAGGCGGGAAACCGGTCCCGGAAAACGTTGACAAATCTGATCAAGACACCCTCTCACGATACCTGAGGGACCATTCTCGTCATTCTGCATACCAGAGAGGTTAATTTTAGGGGATAAATTGTTTCTCCGACGAGACGGTGCACGGGGTGGCTCCGCGTAATTGGATTGTTCAATGTTCAATAAACTCTGCGGTCGCAAAAATATATTTACGTGGAACTGGCAGTTGGTCTCACAATCGGGTGCATTATCTCGCTGCATTTTTTATGAACCACTGCAATAGCGTGACGTGATTCGATTGGCGAATACGCGTCGTGATTCGTGGAATCGGCGGTTGCACTGTTTCAACAGCTTTGGATAGGGCGATGACGCCCTCGAATCGATTACGATTGTTGGGTCGATTATTTCGGTACGTTGAAAGCTTCGATAGCCTCTCGGAAATATTAATATTAACGCTATTTAACATTGGTATTGGTGTTAAACAATACGACAGAGATGTATACGATTATTTTTGCAGAGTCAATGATTATATTTTCCCGATAATTAAACGCCCCTTACTGTTCGCCAATGCAGTGCGGTCGCTTCAAACTGAATAAATGGACTGTATGTTTAATTGATCGAGTGGACGTGGACACTTCTACTAATGCTGTATATCTTACAACGAATTACATTACCTGACAAACATTTAGAATCAGTTGCCCACATGTATATAGCTATGTTGAAATCTCTTGATAACTCTAGGATTAATTTGAGTTACCTATTTCAATGTATCTGACGAATATTTGTTGAAGATAAATCTGACCATTGTCTATAGGTCACATAGCCTGGTAGTAGATGTGCATCCAAGTTGCACTTTTAGCTCAGATTAGCAGAAAATCCACGTTTCTTACTGGGATTTGAGATATTATATCAGCGATAGCCTCTCTACCGCCTGCACGCAAATCCCCTATTGCCTCTGATACCAATGTAGCTAGGTTTCGGTGTTTTCTCCCGTGATACACGAACGAAGCGTAAACCGCGCCACTTTCGCTCTCGTTCGCACTTCTGTTCCGGTCCTTATGCACAGGTTGTTACGTCCTCAATTCAAACGTGCCGAGAATGAATTAACTAGCGGCGAGAGTCGTCAAGAGGACCAACAGTCACGTACCGCGCTCGTGTATTTTTCGTCCTCGTGGAAAACGCCTGGCGAACGAAATTGCGACTCATGCTCTCAGAAGGAGAGGTCACCTGCCGACTGATGCCGACTTCTTCAGGCAATTGGCCATTAACCCTTTAACAATGTCGCTAAACGACGAGAAACAACCGAGGGAAGAGCACTCAGGAAGGCAACCAGGTTATATACCGACTCGTGGTTTCTTTTCTTCTTTCTCTTCTTGTTTTTTTCTTTCCATTACTCCTTTTTCCTCTTTCAGCGAAAACGAGTCGAGCCCGGTTCGCGATCCCCGGCACACCCAGTGGAACGCGTTAATCTGCATTGAAGGAGAATCAGGGTTACGGAATGAGTCGAGAGCAATTAATTGCCCGGATATTTCATCGAAGAACGATCCGGTTCGATCGTTGAAAGGAAATTTCCTGTCAGTCTGAACGACGTTAATTTTCAACGAGGATTAAACACGGTTGAGGTTCTACCGCTCGAGAATCTTCCTCTTTTCCTACAACCCTGTCTTACAAACGACCCATCGCGAGGTCTTTAAACGATCATCCGTGACGTGATCTTCTTTGCCGATCATCTTTCGTTCTCACTCACGCTAGAACT